TTGTGTGGTAAATAGCGATCAAATACAGGTAGACGCAAACAATCAGCTTATTGTAGTGTGGCATTTCATTCAAAGAAAGAAATCCGTCTCTAGCACTTCTACTCAGAACCGCCGTCGTGGATTTATCTGGTGACTATAGCCCACAATTCTACTGCTGTACCTTAGCACTACTGGTTAAATCTCCCAAACGGCAATCCCTAAGTTTTCCATTCCTCAAGGCTTAGCAAATTCGTAATAGAATTTTCCGGGAGGATTGCAGCACTGACTTGATTCATCAATAGGACCACCTCAAGTCATTGCATAGCTCAGATACACTAACCGTTAGCAGTGCTGAGTCTAATCTAAAGAGGATTCCTCAGGAATTGTCAACGTTGAGAGCTCTACCTTTTTTCGTTGGAGCAACCGGAAAAGGGTTTTTTAAACTGACATTTAATATAAATCCACTTTGAACATTTTCCAATATCTGGAGACTTAACTATTTGCTAATCGTTCGTCTTTTTCTCTTTGTAGCACTAAACATAACGCCTTTATTTCTTTGATTCTCCACTGATTTTCACCAGGAGAAGACTAGATGGTGACTGAGGACCACGTCCATCTAGAAGACAATCTACAACGTCACTAGATTCCTGAAGTGACAGAGATTCCACATAGCCGCAATAGGTCTTCCATGCACTTGCTAAGTAACTCTACATTGCTGTATAGAACTGTAGCCGTATGTATCTAAGTTGAAAATAAATATAGATGCATATAAACCATGAAAAAACAAGGATGTATGTACAGCTTACTTGTTGTCCCACATATGGACCGCGACGATCCACCTAGTTGCTCACGTCCATGTTTATCTGGTTATAACATTCGATGATTGCTGTTCTTGATTATATAGACGACTTCCTCAAACTGTAAACATCATAATAATGCCATTCTTATATTCGTACTTCTAGACCATTATATTGCCTTCACTTTGCTATGTTGACAATTGTCGTGTTTAACTTCTGGAGGATCACCTCTTTGGGAATTCCTCTTATTTCTCCTACGCGTGTAAATCAGATGAGCTCTATGGGGTGAGCTTTTGACTGAGGAAGTACTATAATACGAGTTACGGTTATATAAATGTCCTTCCCATCAAACATTCGTCAGTCAACCTCATTATCACAAATTCATTTACATCCACAGCTCTCGATTGTCTTTTCGAATCTGTATAAGTTTCCTCCTTCAGTGCACAATATGAATAACTTAATTCCGTGCATGTGCCTATTGCGTGACATGTTCTGGCTGAATAAAACGCTTCTTTATATAGTCCGAGGGACTCATAAATCCAAAAGTATTTCCCAGGCAGCTACAAACTCGTCAACTCGACAAGCATTGGTTCCGCATGGCTAAGATTTACCATAAGAGCGAGGTCCTCAGCAAGCTAAGGAGGTATAGTTTCTGACTATCGATATACACATCAATTTCGTCCCATTCCAGTGTTCGTATGACGCTCTCGAGGGTGGCAGTAAGCAATTTTCGCGAGATGGATTCGCTTTGCCTAACCCTCCTTTGACGTCGATATTAAAAGCTTTGTAGAAAGGTGATATTTTGGTTGTGAAATTTTTAGATAGCTCATTAGGAACCTCCATGTACTGAGTAGGGATTCCTTGGCTGTCCATGACTTCCGCTACTGCTATCTCAACTGAGTCAAGTTTTATTTAAATTGAAGAAAGTGAGATAGAGCTGTCTCCTGTATTTTCGCAATACTTCAATGAATCTTGTTATCATGTGGATTTGGTCTATCCTTTCGAATCCTTCTTGAAATCCTGCGTGCTCACATGGCCGACCTTCGTGCAAAAAGTTCTGTCGATCTTCTTGCGGAAGACTCGAGTGGAAAGTTTGTAGACGACAGACCGTAAGCAGATTGGGCGATAGTTGCCGATATCGTGCAGGTCACCCTTCTTGAACAAGCACTGTCTTGCTGGTCTTCCACTAAGTAGGAACCTGGCATTCTGTCAGGTAATGTGAGAACAACTGAGCCAGTCTGTTAATGAGGAGTGGAGGAATTTTGTACATCTGTTCAGTTCTTGTCCTGTCCGGTTCAGATGTTGTTCGGTTCTTTACCAAGGAAATAGCATATCCTATAAGTAGGATATCGAGAGGGAGAACCGGTAAGGCGACATATCCATCCTCCTTTATTTTGCATGACGACAAAAGGAAATGGGTTTTGAAGAGATCCGAGTAGTAATCGTGGACAATTTTCCCCAGTGCCTTTCTGGAAGCTTCAACAGTTCTGTGTGACGTTCTTCATACGTTCTTCTTGGTCCAATCGTGGCGTTGAAATCTCCAATGTTGACCTTGAGGAATGTGTGGTCTTCTCCGTAAAAGTTCTTCAAGTCCATATAGAACGCTTCTTCTTCTTCGTCATAGTTTGATGTCGGCGACAAAGATTGTCAGAACCGGAATTGATGCATATCTTTTTAATCGTAAACGTCCGATTCGGGTTGTTAGTTGTTCGAATGAATCAATGTTTATGGACAAACACGTGTTGAGAACGCCGATGCCGCCGACTCCTCTACTGTCCTATGTTCCAACGAGCACTGCTTCTCCGGTATCATAAATGGCGTTGAATGGGTGATGTACTCTCGTCTCGGCCAGGCCGATGACGTCGTACCTTATTCGTCTTGCTTGCATGAGCAAGTCTTCTATCGAGGACTCGAATGCAAGTATACGTGCATTGTAGGTACAGATCGTCACCATAGTTCTTCGTGATCCAGACATCTTCCATTGACCGTGGGATTTTAGCAGCCTCTCCATACTCGTCTTACCTAATGCTGCCGAATTGGAGTCCCTTTCGAGATCAGAGGAATAGGCGCGCTTCTTTTATTGTTATTAGCTTTTTGATACCCAGGTATAGCCTGAACGTGGGTGCTGGGTATACTCACCGGTAGCTTGCCAGGCTCTCCCAGAGTGGACATGGATCTTATTTGTTGGAGGCGACTCCTAACCGCCTCCCATATACTTCCCAGTCACCTGATTTCAGGCTTTTGGCGGAATTGACTCGTAGGATAGAATCCGCATAGGCAAGAACGCACCCACACACGCATGCATGAGTACGCCTAGCAAATACAGAAGGTATGTGCCAAATCGACGCAGCAGAAATAGGGAGTCCATCCCCTGTATCCACCTGCGTGTCAGGGAAGCAATAGTCGTTTTTGGTACGTGATCAAACCCCTATCTGCTACTTGGGGACGCGCCACGTAGCCTCACGACTAACGGGTTATTGGGATCCCTCATACGAGGGAGATCCATGGTGACGGGTCATATAAAATAAAAAAGAAATGGAATCCCTCAACTATTCAAAATCCGAAACGCCGTGAATCGCGGTGAAATTTTCACTAGGACGGAGCTCCGATTCGATTATGTAAAGTCCAAGGACTGTCGTATTTCCTCACACAGTTACATAGTGAAACAACCATGTCCTGTTTGGCGTTGTAGAACATATCACATGATATTTCGTCCAACATTTTTATTTAAAGCTGCATGTCACTCTGCAGCTCTACTTCGGATTCCCTCATAACCCATTCAAATAATATTAAGAGCAAATGCGTGGAAATTCTTGCTCTAGTTCAAGCCTGGATGCAAGATATGGTGCATGCTTTCAAAAGCTTCATGGTAGAGCCCTAATTAACCTCGATTTTGTATTTGCGAGGTTCTTTTGACCATTGAAATGCCCCACATACCATGTCATTGCGAATTAAGAAGAACTCTTTATCGTAATTCTACCGCTGAATCTGTAACTACACTAATGAGAGACCTTTAACCGCGTTTGCACAAATTAACAAGTGTTTCACCGTAAACAAACAAATGATTTAGCACGAGTACCGGAAATGATATATCATCAATGCACAATGAACTTTAATCCTCGCTGTTTTCACAGTCTCCGAACTCTTTCATAACAAAGTCTGGCAAAAACTGACAAACATCAAGTGGCTGGGTCTTCGTTGGTTGCGCTATGAGAATACTGATACAGATACTAGTCGTGCGTAAAAGCTGTTGATAACAGGAACTATGCCAAACGTAGAACAATAACATGAATGGAATGGAAAGAATATCAATAGTAACAGGCCACATAAGGAAGACGCTAGAAAGGAAAAATTCATTCGTTAACATTAACAAGCCCGATGTCACTTTATAGGGCGGTCATTTCGGGCGACATAAAATTTTTGTCCTAACGCAGTATGAATTTAATCCAATTCATGTCGGCTTATCAACCCGCATATACAAATCACATTTACTCTGCTCAGTAGGAAAAGTCTTCTTCCCAAAAAAAAGTTCCATTTTTATCACTACCTGTGAGAAGAAAACTTTTCTGGTCCTATAGCCGATACAGGATATTGCATATATTATCCGCTGATACAAAAAGGTACAGCGAAAATCTATATGGCAGAGTAAACAACCGGAAAACAAATGAGTTGTTGGTAATTTACGAGGGCAAATTTCCTTAAGGCATGAGGGAAAACAATTCACATCGGACTCCAATTGTTAAAGAAAGCAACAAGCAGAACAAAAGAATGACAGTGATAACAATTAGCGCGCAAAAAAATATTTTCACTAATTTAATGAGATCCCTAGGAAAATCAACAATATCGACGATGATTTTACGTTACCACAAGGGCAGCATATTAGGCTGCTGTAAGCTGCCATTCATAATAATTTGAAGGACACTACAACATCTTACGCCTCGCCGTTGATTCTGGTCAAGAGGGGTCCACGATCGTCGCCTAGACTATGTCCTTCGTGATGGAGATTGACAAACGTTGTTCCTACTTGTCTCTTATTAAACGGGATCCCAAGCCTATAATAAAAGATTTGCGAAATCATATGACCTCTCCAGAAATTCTAACACTTTTTTGGACGTTTTCAAAAATAAGGTTCTAGAAACAAGCTTACAAACCTCATTATCCGTCCTAACAGTATCCCCAACTTCGAGAAAATTGAATAAAACAAATCAGTGATGTGGAGGATATTTAAAGTAGTACTAGGGTATCAAATGAAATTGTCGTGGAATGAAAATATACATAACTCGTTAAACAATGATCGGCTAGAGTTGGCATTATTGGTTGCAGCAATATGGATGACACGCGGAGAGTCTCATACGTAATGTAGAGCACAGTATCCAACTGAAAAGGAAAAGCAGTGAGTATTCCAACCTAATAACCTAATGAATACTTCCTTAAATCTAATCTCACCGCAAGTCGGTCTCTTAGTTTCCATGGCTCTGTCGATTGAAAGAAGCTATTTCCTGACTTTAAACCTGCCATTATTCTTTCAATTGCCTTATGAAACAGCATATCGTCGTAAAACTGCAAACTTTTCTCTGAAAATACAAGGTTCTAAAAACAAATAGCGGTGCTCTCAAAAAGCGTGGGCGTTTTCAAATAATAGTGATTTAAAATGGCCTAGCAATGAGTGGAACAGGATCACCTCTCATCTCTTCTAACTCTTTGATAAGAGGGATAGCAGACTTCATGACGCGAGAATCTGCGATATCTTCGGAAAATCTCGGGTATAACTGAGAAGGGTTAAGTTTTCGGACGGTAGATCGGCTCAGTAGGTTTCCAATATTATTTACCAAGTCGCTATTGATTACGTTTAGTGCTTTTTCTTCACTAAAATCTGAAATGGGGTACATAAAAACATGTCTTACGCAGAGAACTGACCACTTTAACACATAGGAACTAAAACCAACCGCAATCTCCACTAGGTAGGCCCTGTTTCAATAAAAAATAGCGTAAACCATCTGTTGTGTACAACTTTGAGGCGTCTAAGGGATCAACGACATTACCCAGGCTTTTCGACATCTAAAACAATACAACTTTTAACGGATCTGATAACACTACACATACTAAAGTGACCACACTGAGATATGGCAACTGCACTATGTGTTAAGTGATACATCTCCTCTATTCAAGGAGTTACAACCGGTTTACTTACGAAGGGCGGGCGTACTGCAGTGGTCGGAGGCGCCCTGCAACACATACATGGGATCTATCCCCGCGCCCATGGCTCACAAAGCCTTCCATCCATCTGTGGTCGACAAATTGGTACCAGACTTATCTGGGAGGATAGCAGCACTGGTTCGATACATCGGTAGGCCACCGCGAATCATTGTAAAGCCCAGATATGCATTCAATCACCTCCATCGATGTTTAACGAAGTCAAATGTGTAGCGCATCCCTCAGGGATTGATCAAATCTAGAGAATATTCACAGAACATGTCCAGAAATAATTTCACCGAAGAATTCACTACGCATAAGAAACTCGCACTTGCAGGCTTGAAGAATGACATTGATTTCATTAACGATGCCAACAACACAATAAGAGAACTAAAAATGTCAACGATATGACAAACAAGGACAGAACCTTTCTAAACAGCAAAGGATCAAATTCAGCATTTGTGCCAAGAAGTGATAAAGTTTGACACCACATTCGTTTTCATAAGCCTGCTAGTTATAATAAGAAATATGGAGACTTCGCTAGTGACTACGTTGTATTCTAGAAGCCAGTTGTTATGTCAGCTTCTTAACGGAACACACGGCGGTTACCAAAACTAGCTATTTGAAACAATGACCAAGTAGGATTAAGCGATAGACGGATATTCAAGAAAAAGCGGAGGATTAACTTAACTCGTCCGCTGCACAGTTTTTCTGCCATGAACTAAGTCTCAAAGATATGTGTATCACAGAAGAAAATGGAAAGACTACAGTATTCAACTTAGGTATAACGCCAAAGGTTGGTGTTGTGAATGAAAAACTGAACGATTCCAAACTCCACTGTCAATCTAAGCTTAAAGACACTACCGCCAGAGACAAGTGGTAGAAAAGGTTTGCTGAGTATTTCGTGCGCCTGTGTAGTAGAGAAATCCTTGAAGTCAAGTTAACACCGATATGGCTGCTTAAAAGCTGTAAGGAGTTCTTCAGCTTTTAGAGGCAAAACGTGGAAAATTTCGAGTCTCTAAGACCTCTTTCTCTAAGAGTAACATTATCGATAATAGTGGCACGAGTGAAAATGTAGAGACTGGAGTCGTGAAGGAAGTCGAACTAGCTCACTATCGATAAAGAACAAATTATGGAATCAGCACTAAACACCATCGTAGGATAACGCTTCCGTTCTGTAGCAATTTTTGAAGAATGCCGTGTTGTACAACTGCTTAATGTCGATATACTTTAACCAGTACTGCCAACCACATCCTCGCAAGAGAAAGAATATAGTGGATCTACAACAAACGATCCAAAAGGAAAATGATGTGCTATACATGCATTCGAGGGAACCACTACCTTTGTCTTTCCAACCAACCAGTGGCCATGAATGAGCAGTTTCTGAGGTAAAGTAAGTCCCATTGCTATTAGTAGCGCAGGCCAGTAGAAAGCATGAAACCTTAAAAAAGCAGTTAATCACTTTAGAAAGTGAATAGGTAACTTCACTCGTAATATTTACCTTAGTATATCCTTTCCGAGAATTTGACACGTAGGTGGCCATGCTTTTAATGTGGCAGGATACCCAACAACGGATAGATAGTTGAGAAGTGAATCCAACCACACATAGATCTCAATCGAATACATCATCTACTCACCAAGAGATGCAAGAAAGCCAAGTGTTATAAAACTCACAGTCTGAGAATGGTCACCCGGAACTGGAATGCCCCATGGAAGTCTCATTCGACAGCGTGAGACTGATAGATCTCCTTCGAATTCAAGGCTATTCAAAGCGGATGGAAGATAAACTTCTGGGTAAATAACATCTAAAAAATGCATGTCTGATAAACAAAAAGTTCGTAAAACATGTTAGGTTAGCCATAAACATTTATTATACATCTATCTGGAAAACTCATTCGAGCACTAAGAACACGAAATATTTAGAACCCTACCTGAATTCTTTAGCCAATCTTCAACTGTCCTTTTATAATTGGACAAACGGAACATGTAGTTTTCTTCTTCGATCCATTCAACAATGGTGTTTGTGCCCTTCACAACCTACACGTTAAAACGTCATAAAAGAACGATATATAAAGAAATTATCTTAAATTCCTCCCAACGGTTTACCGCCTCGTCGTAGGTGAGAGGTGTTCCTGGGTGTCGAGCTGCGATGAACAATGCGGAGATTCACCTTTACCACGGCCTCCTTAGCTGTGAAAGAGTACAGCGTTTCCATCAGGAAACCCAGCTAAGAGTAAACCAATAGCAGAATTCACCACCGCCGTGGTATCAAACTAGTCGTATGGTAGCAAATCTCCGTGATCCACAACGTTTGCGACTGCCTGTGGTGGTGAAGACCTGGGGCAGACTTTGAGACACCAGGGAACCACAATGGCTAAACCAGCACAATTCCGAAAAATGGAAATTATGCTAAGGCCCGCACAACCAGTGAATACGGGCCGTCCAAATATCCAAGTATCTTAAATTGTCTTAATCTAATCTTAAATTGGCTCACGGTTCATGACTTTAAAGTGTATGTAAAGTAGTGTACAAATAGTTTTGATCATTTATGGTAAGTTGATACATAACTCGGTGGATTGATCTATTTGGGACAATTACAACATATCTTAAGGGAATTCTAAATAGCACCAAGCAACAGGAAGAAGTTCGAACCTTTCCCAAAGCAGAGTCCTCAACCTCGTTATTAGGGAAGAAACACTCGTCCACAACGCTATACCACCCCGAATAGGTATCCTTATAGATAACATTTTGGTCACAGAGCCGCTTCTGAAAGTGAACTGTAATGGTTAGATGAGAATCACAGTAATCTACTCACCCATACGTATTCCACACACTGCTTATGACGGACTTCCGTAGTACGAATGAAGTCTGTATTCAAAATATCGAACTTTGAAAACAGGTTGCGGAAGCTTCCCGAAGTGTCGTCGCAAAATTTCAGAGGATTTTGTCCAGCTCTTTCCGCAGCGCGCAAAATCTGAAAAAACGTGTCGCAATTCCAAACCCAGCTCTAGGATTCCAGCGAGAGATACTTTCACAGGACCTTTATGCCATGTTCGTCAGTGCCTGTGGCAAAGAGATGTAAGCCATCCGGATCTCTCAATCGTCGCCATCGGTGAGCGGCATCGGCCAACACAACGGTATAGAGATGACCGAGATGGGGTACTTGAAAAACATAATTGTTTCAGAATTCTAGATTCCCTTAAAAGATGTCAAATATCGCAGTAATAATGAACTAGAATGATCCAACAAAAAACTCTCTGCTGGTGCTGTTCTCAACATTCTTGCGTTAAAATGTGTTCAAGAATTCTCTGTGCTTTCTAAAATACCATAAGTACCAGATGAAAAAGGCGCATGAAGCGCAGTGGTCGGAGGCGGCCTGCAATACACATGGGATCGATCCCCGCGTCCCAGGCTCACCAAGCCTTCCACCCTTCCGGGGTCGGGAAATTGGTACCAGATTTGCCTGGAGGGAAAGCAGCACTGGCTCGACACATAGGTAGGATACCACGAGTCATTGTAAAGGCCGGATATGCATCCATTCACCTCCAAACGATGCTAGATGAAGTTGAATGCATGGTGTATCTCTCAGAGATTTATCAACGCCAAGAGCTTTTCTTATCACATGAAAAAGAATAGAGAGAAAAAGGAAGCATACACGAACCGGAATTTACGTAAAAAATTGGCGTCGTTATGTAAGAATTACTTCTTTTTGCTAGCAGAAATAAAGACGATGGTCTCTTCATTCACCTGATAACAGGATTTTCATAGTCATTCTTGCAGAGACGGAAAACCATCTACGGATTACAAAAAGGACGTACTGGAAGGAATGTAGACACGAATGAATCAATAAGTAAACAATGCGAATATTTCTGCATAAAACGAATCTTTAGCAAGAAACTTCTACAATGTAAGAACTAGCTAAACAATAAAAAGTTTCCTAAGAACGTTTGGCCTTTATAAAGATCGGTTTCCAAAACACTTCCCATATGAAACATCCTATGTACCGCTGCACAAATGGCTACTGAAGCAAACCCTTGGCTTGAGACTGTTGTCCCTTTCACTGAAAGCTCATCCTCTTCCGGCAGTTACTTCCTTCGCATCTCAGTGACCGACATTAACGGATGCCGTTCGACCAGGTAACCCATAGAGACGACTGCCCGAAATGACAACAGAACAACAGACCTTATGTTCCTTACCCTGAGTTTAGCAGTGTTTCTAACACAAACATTTTGCTTGGAGTGAACTACCACCTGCCATTGTAGACTATCGTACTTCACGCTTGAACACTTAGCAGAAAAAGGTCGTATTATAACCGGTGGCTTTGTTCCTGTATCAAGATGTTAGCAAGTGCCCAATTTAACCCGAGAAATGATTGACTGTACTGTGGAAGCTCTCTAATTCATAAAACAGTTACGCTGATGTGAAACATACTGCAGCCACTCTAAAGGGTCAAAACTTCCTGAGTCTTATCATGCCAGTCGTCCTCCTTGGATCTTTCATAACAACAGAGTTTCTCAAAGGCTGAGTGATCGCTTATTCCGATACCAATATAATTTCCATTGCTGTTTCAAAACGATCATCTACGGACGCGATAGTAACACTTGCCCCAGGAACTATCCTCTCAACCACTACAACTTGACCTTCCAAGCTTTGAGCCCGAAATTCGCCGAAACGTCAACTTCTTCTGTGAATAAGGAATAGAGTAACACCTCGTGTTTGCTCAGCAACAGTATAAAAAAATTATTGGATCAGTGCCGAGGATAATAGGACGTCGATCGTTGAAATCACTATAATTTTATCGTACATCACGATATTCTGAAACTATCTAATAAATGAATATAAAAGTAAAACAACGCATTGCTAGTACGGATCAACGAAGTTCCTAAAGCGCCATGGGTCATCGTTTAGCTGTAGGGCGAACTTAGTCATAATGGCATTATGTGGATTATCACCGTATTATCAGTAGTCTCGTTAATCATCAGACAACTCGAGAGAAAGCCTTTATAGTGTTCATTTGCGCTTTAAAAAAGCTAAAAGAGGCTCTCGGCGTTGATCAATCTCTGAGGGAAGCGCCATGCATTCGACTTCAGTAAGCATCGTTGGAGGCGACTGAATTCATATCTGGCCTTTACAATGACTAGCTGTGGCCTACCGATGTGTCGACCCAGTGCTGCTGTCCTCTCAGACAAGTCTGGTACCAATGCAGATCTCGGAAGAATGGAAGGCTTGGTGGGCCAAGGACGCGGGAATCGATCCGACGTGTATTGTAGAGCGCCTACGACCACTGCGCCACATTTGCTATTTGTATTTGTACTTGCAGCAGCCTGAAATTTATCAGTGAGCTTCACTTAAAGGAAGGATACGAGGAATACCACACTTCTGCACTAACCCATCTATTTCTATTGCTGGCTCGTCGGGCTACAGACGCTTATTCCTAGCTGGGCCTCCTGTTTGGAAATATCTGACTTATCTTTTTATCCTGGGCGATTCTGCAAGGCTCAAAATAAAAGTCGGTGAGATTGGGAGGAAATTTGAACTATATGGCAGTTTTTACATCTGCGGCAGTACAGCAAACTATATATGTATCGCCGTTATACCAGGGCACCATGGGAAGTACTATAGGCTGGTTTCAGCACCCCAGTTGATGCGTAAGGAGGTGTTTCTTAAGTGCTACCTTTTGAACAGTATGTTAAAGAGGTGGAAATGTGCAAAGATATGGGAATGGAAATGTCCTGAAGCCCTTTCAACCATTCTCTTTACACAGTGTTTTACTCTTATTTACTGCCTATCTCTTTTTTTATGACAGAATATTCTGTGAAATACAACCACAAGGTGGGTGAAGTATGGGAACCTTAGCTGCGCTTCGAACCCGCGATAACCTTTTCCTTGTGCTCACGTGCTATCCACCCCACTAACCAAGGCCTCTACTTTACCTTTCTCTCAGCCAGGTTTTTGCTCTAGTGATGTTATAAGCAATCACTGGGTTCAATGCTGATTTGTGCTCCTTACGCCACTTCCGCTTAAGGTTGGTCGCTAATTGCACCGCTAAAGTGAAAAAGAGAAAGCTGACTAAGGATGGCTGTGAGAAAGGCAAACCAAGGGCCTCGGTTAGTGTAGTGAACAACCCATGAGCCCCAACCCCCGAAAAAGCTATGAAGGGTTCGACGCCCAACTGAGGTTCCGAGGCTTGCTCACTTCTCGATTTCTTTGTTTTTATCTCCACAAAGTGTCATAATTCACTATCGATAAAGAGAAACGAATGCTGCTTGACGTTGAGTGGCTGTGTGAGAATATCTGTTAGTAACTTGCCCAATGTCCGTTGAGAAAATATACGATCACAGCAGGAGAGCAGTGATTAGAGATAACTTATTCTTGTGTTTCGAACCTGGGCCCATGCTCACCAAGTCTGCCCCTCCATCCGAGTCGTAAATATGTACGGACCTGGGAACACAACTTTTGGCACATCTTTAATGTGCTTTCCTATATTACGACACGACTATGACATTTTTCACGGGTAAGAAAAGGAGTGCACTAAGAAGAGTAACAGAGAAAACCGGTAGGACTGCTCGGATGCAGTGGAGAGGGAACTGTCCTTCTGAACTCATCTCTACGACTTCACGATGTTCCACATTTCAATGTTCTCTACAGAGACGGAGAACACAATGACGAAATAGGGGAAGTAATCGTGAGATTTCTTCACAGACGCATTTAAGATCAAATCATAGGAATCCTGTGTTCGTAAATCATGAGAACTCTCTCTCAAATTCTGGTAACGAGCTGGAACGATTGCAGAAAGTACTTGCAGGTACTACATGAACCTACTACTACTACTACATGATGCGTTTAAGTTAATATGTTTTTGGAGTTTCAGCTCCCTAAAACGCATGGTAGCTTTAAAAATATTTCTTAATCGAATAATTGAACACGGAGATCTATTCCTATCCATTGGCTAGAGGCTTTTTCAACAAACACGGAGGTGCTCTATTATTCTGCTTTCTCTCCAGTTCATTGTGACATCAGTCAACGGGTTCACTTAACGTGATTTTTCCGGTAGCTTTATATTAAAGCCAGCTGAAGTTACTAAAATAAAAGAAGGATGATGAGAAACGATGAAAATTGCGATGTCATGAGAAAGATGGGATCAATGATTCGCGTAGGGCCATCAAGATGACAGTCCAAGAGTTCTACTCCTTAAGTGGTAGAAGTATTGGTAGGGTAGTTCTTTCCTGATAGCGTAACTGATGCTTCACAATTGGAAACCTCCGAAGAAAATGATACATAATGTGCGAGTTAAATTTCCATGATGCCAACAAAAGCTTGACGAGGAGTGAGGGAAGTCGTTGATGTGGTCACATTGATTTCGCTTCGTTTACTTAAACAACTTTCACTTGCTTCCATATGAACCGCGATGACAACTTTTGGTTCTACTTATTTTTTTTATCAGAACGTTCAAGAGTCAAGTTTTAGGCATTTCTTATTAAATTTTTGATTCTCACTAATTGTTCTCAAAGCGGGAGTCAAACCGTTCCTTTCCTTAAATCAACCTCTGGTAAAACCCTGCGTTCAGCGGCCTTCACTATTCCATTAGGGCCTGCGAAAGGCAACTCCCTATTTCCAACAAAACCGTGTAAATTCATGAATTGGTCATTTCTTGCATGAATTCGACAATTTCCCCCTCTCTGTGAGTTTTTCGCTTGGCCTATCACTCTATTGTCATCGCTCATATGGCTGATATCGAATGGACATTCATATCATTGCCGCCTTTTCTGTTGACTCCAACGAAAAAAATGATGATAGGTCTCTTCGTAATCCTTCGTAACAACTAAGGGAGATTGTGCCAGCTTGGTCGCCAACAAGAGAGCCGGAGCCGATCGCTTATGACTCAGTAGCTCTTTTCCACATTATCCGTTCCATTAGTCTGACTTATCTCAGGAAATGACAATTCATTTCAAACATAGCGAAGACACATTTTCTTTGCTGCGCCGATGACGATGAAAGTGTTGCGTAGGTTCTTTCATCGGTCGGAAAAAATCAGCTTGTTCTAACGGTCTGTCTTTACGCTGTTCTATAGATCCCAAACGTTTTTTTTTCACCAAGTCTTTTCCTTTGCTTTGGTTTATTCCCACTGTTATGTTGCTCTATGTTTTGAGGCGAGAAGACGAAAATTTGTTTTGAAATCCAGATATTTCCATTCAATATTCCAAAGAGATGTGAGGAGCGGAAGGAAATCAATCCATATCGACGTGAATGAGAATAGTTTTCTCCACTTTTTTTTGCTCTCGTATTGTTCAACTTTTTTTTACGCATCTGATTTCTTTTCCTCACCGTTCGCCGTTAAATCACCAACTCTTATGAGAGTGGATATCTCTGTACTAACCTCGATCCGCTCTTCTCTTCCATTTTCAGTTCATTGCTGCTTTTTTCCCTCAAGGTATTTTCATTTCCCAAGAACTCTGTCCATAGCGAGGGTGTTTAGCACGCTTATGTGTCTAGAGTTCGCTTGATATTCCCGTTAACGTCCTTGAGCGTTCTCCAATTTCAAACGCTTTATCCCTGAAGTTAATGTAACGCTTGAAGGACGACATTCATATCCTTACTATTCGTTTGCTTTCATCCATGCGTTTTCATTCGTGTCTGAACAGTTTGAACTTTTTTTTCGCACATTCAACCGATGAAAGTCACAACAACTCGAATTTGAGGCCATTCAAGCATCTTTGACAAAGGCATCAGAAACTTTTCCTTTTCTTTTTTCCTCCGTTCTCGGTGTTCTTC